ACTAATGAAACCTTAAATAAATTTGGACAGTGCAACACAAATATCCTGTCGGTTGAAAAAAAGTTGATTAATACTACTTTTGACTCTTAATATAAGAGCCGAAAAATTTAATTTAATTTTAAATATAATATTTTAATTTATTTTATCTCTATTATTTGTCAATTTCTTTCTAAGGGGATGTTTGGCAATATGAAAACCATGGTTTCAGAAGCACTTTTTCGCAAAACGAGGCAAACTCCTCCACATATTTACTTCGTAAACCGTAAAAGCACTTATGAAACTATGGTTTGGTTTCTATCCAAACCCCCCTAAATAAGTCTTATAATAATTACATATGACAAGAGGTTTTATTACGAAATGACTTTAACACAAATGATTAATAAGAGTATTTTTAAAAAAATAATACTAGTAGTTATTTATTACACCAAAGGAATTTAACTAATTTTTTTCGATTGTTCGTAAATTAATTCTCTAGCTTTGCAGGCAATATCCCACAACTACTAAAAGACAATTAATTTGATACCAATCCAAGAGCACGAGCGTTAGGCCGGACGCAATTAACAGTTGAATAAAAACAGCTGTTCGTAAAATTCTCCGATGGATCAATCTCTAGTCTTCGATCCACAATGTTAGTCGGTTCGAGTGTTTGACTAGCAGTATCAGGTTATCCGCTAGTCATTTTTCTTCCTTATTTTCTTTTGGTATTCCATCTTTCTTCCTTTTTATTCGAAGAATCCGCTGACCTTTCCGGTTTCCCGGCCTCCATCGTTTCCATAAATCTAGAGAGGATTAGCGTATCTATCACCAGAATCGACGCAGGTACCTCGTAATTCTCGTGATCTTGTAGTGTTTTTTATTCTTCGGTATTTTTCTGGCTGTTCCTTAGCTCCGAACAGATGCGTCTTGTGTGATTCTTAGTTGATTTTTTTTTTTTGCAGTGTTTTTTATTCTGGGTTTTTGTGAGATCGGATGGAAGAAAGGAAGCAATCGCGTTACGTGAAACTCTCTAAAGATCAGGCGCCTCTCCAGGATATCCAGCCCGGCGAACTTAATCAGCCAATTGAGGTTCCTCAGGTTTGACTTATTCGGACTTTCTTTGAGCTCATTTGCTGTGGGGGTCTGCCCCAGATCCATTTTGTTGTTGATATCTTCCGATGGTGCTATAGGTTTTGATTCGGGTATTTATATTGAAGAATTCGACTTGACGCCTTTTTACGAATTGAAATAGTTGCCGTATGATTTAATTTTACGATTATACCTAAGGCCTACTTATTTGCTTGTTAGGTCAGAAAACCATGTTAAAGAGTGTTTTCGAGTGCGTTATATGATCTTTATTAATTAGTAAGTTCTTGAGTTGTTGGGGGAATGGCAATGTGGCTAATAAGTTTAAGCTACCGTGTTTAGAATCGTTTGCATTCCTCTTATATGGGGAAGCCGGTTGATTTTGAGGCCGGGATAAAGCAATGACTGACCGATCCCCACAACCTTCTGATAAAATTTATTTTGTTAATAAGATCAAGGGTGGCATTTACCACATTAGAGACTGCTTGTTCTAAAAGGCTCTATCAAGATGGAGAAATTAGTGGAAAGGAAGTGAACAATTGACTTTGCCATATTTGTACGTGTTTAAGTACGGAAAGTTTTGGGATATCGTTGTATTATAACTTTATAACTGGAAACCCTGCATATTTATAGAATTGACAATTCAACCCTGGTATAATCACACACTTTTAAAACTTGGCTCTTATAGTTGGAGATGGTAATACCTGCCTTGTCTAAGAAGGACGCTTCTTTAAATCGTAGCCACTGCAGAAGACAAATGAAGAAAAGTTATACTTGGAAAAAAAAAAAAAAAAAGAAGAAGCTGGGATGTGATAATTATGTCTCTTTACTACCTAATTCTTTTTTGTATATGACATTTTTAGGTTTAAAGTATCATGTCTCTTTTATCATTCGCTCCTAACCTGAATTTGTCTCATTGGCATTGGAGAAAAGCAGAAATTAATGTTCTAAGTTAATTTCTGTGAGATTGTTTAAAAGTTTGAAGTTGCTAAGTTCATAGATCTGGGTATGTAGAGTGATACAGATATTGGTGTTATTTTCAGCTTTCACTTGGTATTGATCAATGATTGGGTAAATTACGTTTTCATGGGATATTTTATACTCATTCAAAATAAATAAAGTTCAAGGAATAGTTTTCATGTGTGAGACAACGCAATATTAAACCTTCAGACAAATGTTGCATGTTCTTAATAATGACCAACAAATATATGATAATTTGTTTCTTTCTCCCAACTTTTCAGTTGGCTGTTCGCAAATGCAGTGAATGTGGACAGGAGCTCCCCGAAAGCTACTCACCTCCTGCAGATGAACCTTGGACAACGGGGATCTTTGGATGTGCTGAAGATAGAGAAAGTTGTAAGTTAATATTGTAGGGCCTATAAGGGCTGGCTAGCTGACAGCTGTAATCAATAACTTAAAGCATGTCGATATTATCAATTTTTGGTTGGTGAGAATTGTTTTTGACCTTTTTGGTTAGTGAGATTAAACATTTAGAAGAATTGAACACTTTCAGACTTAATGGTAGTTGCATGTTATCAGCTAGATCACTATGACTAGGAGCAAGCTCTGTTATCTGTGTTGCTTGAAATAATACATGAAATATGTCTTTTGAGATTGGCAATTTTATTGCGATTCTCTTCAATATACTTTACTTACTAAATGCTGTTGGGATTTATGCTTCAGTTTTAGTGCATGGTTATAGTGCTTTGATTCAACATGGAATTTATTGTTTCTGGACGCTGATCCTTCATTGCAGGCTTAACAGGACTGTTTTGTCCTTGCGTATTATTTGGGCGCAATGTGGAAAGCTTGAGGGACGACACTCCTTGGAATAAGCCATGCGTTTGTCACGCTATTTTTGTTGAAGGTGGCATTGCTCTAGCAGCAGCGACTGCAATTTTTCATGGTATTGAACCTGGGACAGCATTTCTCATCGGCGAGGGTTTACTTTTTACTTGGTGGATGTGCGGGATTTACACTGGTCTAGTTCGGCAATCCCTACAGAAGAAATATCACCTAAAGGTACATGTTCTACTTCATCTTCCATCAAGCAAAGCATTTAATCCATATGCTGCTTCTGCTTAATCTCCCAGACAACGTTCACATTAGCGTATGGGTTTAGGGCCTTCTTGGCTGTAGGGTTGATGAGGATCTCAAGGAGGCATCAGTTTTTTTCCCAATTGACTTTCATTTTTTTCTTCCCAAGAATGAAAATCTTGTTCTGTTATTGATTTTGCCTACATATATATACTTTTATTGTAGAACTCGCCTTGCGACCCATGTTGTGTCCACTGCTGCTTGCACTGGTGTGCCTTATGTCAGGAGCACAGGGAGATGAATGTACGTCTCACCGATGTTGCTGTGCCGATGACTGTGGTGAACCCGCCTCCAGTTCAACAGATGAGGTCCACAGACGATGACAAGGAAAATTCAGAAGCAACTTCCGCTGACAAAAACAATGAGCATACCCATTTGGAAATGCAGCCTATTTAGGACATACCATTTGTTTATAGTCTAAAGAATAGCATGCTTGTATGAAATTTTACATCATAGAGAAACCCCTTTCCCCTGAGATTCAGTTGTTGCTCTGGACATGTTGATTACTTGCACAGAATTCCTTTGAGAGCCATATTTTTCTTTCTTATCTGCCTGATTGAGCTGTTGATCCTAACTTTTCTATCTCTGTTTATTAATGAATCTTTTTTTGAGCGCCATCAAGGCATTGATGTATTTTGCACCACTTGGTTGAAATGGTGAGAAAGTTGGATGAAAAATTATACAAGGAAGCGACACTTTGGCTGCGTGGGGTCGATGCATTACAACGATTTATTTATTTATTTTTTAATTATACAAAAAGATATGTGATATCTATTACTACCTCCTGTCCTTAATATAGGATCTTGTTTAATTTTTATTTTGGTCTTAAATATAAGACTCTAATTCACTTTGTCCCTAATATTTATGTATTTTTTTTCAAGATAGTCTTTGTAACAATAATAGTTCTAGCCAATACACTTGATTAGTAAGAATATTTTAGGAAAGACATCACCTATTTATGACAAATAGCAAACTTAACTTCTTTCTTTAATCTCCTCAAATTAGTTAACTAGCTCTTATAATTAGGATTGGAGGTAGTACGTTTTATCATTATTATTTACAAAGAATTATACTTTATTATAATTTTCTATCGGTACAAGAAAAACTTTTTTATTCATATATTTAATGTTCCACTCTGAGTGTGAAATCACTCCTGCAGAATTTATAATTTATAAAATTGATGAATAAAGATTCCCAAAAATTAAAGTCTTCATAAAACTTACAAAAATAAGATATTCTAAGTGCTTTTAAAATTATATTTTCTCGATATTAATTTAAAATTATAATTTCTATATGTTTGAAAGTTGCAATTTTGTCTTGGTAATGCTGTGAGAATATTTTTAACCAATCTTATATACTCTTAATTTATATTCTCAAGATCTCTGACATATAGACTTAATTCATTTATCCGAGACTAAATATTTCGACAAAAAAAGTACTAGAATTATTTTTCCAATGCTAATATATATATTTTGAGAAAATATAAAAACATTTGTATAATTATATATATTCTTTGTAAAAGATCAAACGATATTAAAGTAAGAGGAACCTTTCAGTTATATTGCACAAGAGGAAAAAGAACAAAAGCAAGAAGATAAAAAAGAAGAGAGAGCTAACATCTACAAGTTCACAAGAGATCAAAGAAGACATTTGCATATTTTTGTAGTTTTATTTTTTTCGAGTGACTTTTTTGTAGTTTTATTAAAAGTAAGCAAACTTTATCACCAAAACAAAAAAAACAATCTGACTAAACGCCAAGTCGTTTCTTCCTATTGTCATTACAGTGTTGCTACCCCAGAGCCTCCCTTTCGCTGATGCAGGACCAGAGGGGATGAGGAAGACCCAACTCCGAACGGAAAACTAAAACCTCTCTGCCATGGCGCTTAAAAACCTCTGCACTGTCCTGCCTTCTCTCTCTATCTCTATCCCACACCACTTTTCACTCTTCAACCCGAAATTTTGCCAATTGGACGCAAAGCCTCCGCTTATAATTTGCGAATTTTCGAAATCACAGACACAAGCATCCCGGAAACCATCATCTTCAGATGCGCATTTCACAGACTACGGGCAGGTGGAACCAGAAGGCACCGGCGCAGCGGCTCCAACACCCGGAGAGAGGCACCTTGAACATCAGATGTCCGCTGAGGCGCTGAAACTGGTCCTCAAAGAGAACAAGAAGGAGTGGAAGAAGCAAAAGAGAGAGAAGGTTGTGATGAAAGCTTCTTTGGCGGTTGCTTGTTGTTATGGGTGTGGAGCTCCGTTGCAAACTTCGGAGATTGATGCCCCTGGTTACGTGGATTTGAAGACTTATGAATTGGTAGCTTAACCTATTATATTTTTTTTTTCTAATTTCAATGAGCGTGTTAAATGAAGCTCTCGAATTTTTGATTCTGGTTATGGCTGGGTTTAGCTGGTTTCCACCTTTCAGGACATCTGTCCTCCTATGTGTAGATTTGACTAAGCTTCTAGATGTTTTGATTTCTGATATTCCCCACTTCCCGGGTACACGGGGTCTAATGGTCTTACTGAACATAATTTCAGTTTTTCACATGGAACGGAATCAAATTTGACTCATGCATTATTAAATAGATGAGATGAATCTTATATTTTGACGGGTGTTTAACTGTGATGCCACTTCTCACTAGACCAAGTGAATTTCAAATTCTTCGATGGTAAAACTCAGATTAAGTCCATTTTGGAGCTGAACTTTAAAAATCAGTTTGAAAGTTGGAACCTGCCTTCACTGGTTTCATGCAGCGGCTTTTGTTGCATTTGTCAAATACTGATTGATGGATGTTCTGTGTGGCTGAATGAGAATGGTCGGGCTTGAATTCCATAAACTTTAATGTATATTTGAAATGAGTAATTGTTAATGAGAGTATGAATGACATTTTTTTGGCAAAACACATCCAAGTAAGAACGAGACTGAGAAAGAGAAAAATGCAATGAAGAATTTATTTTAAAATAGTTTCTTGAAAATAATATTTAGTCTTCGAAGTTGTTGCATTCACTTTTTCCATTTTTTTCAATCACAACCTTTTGGTTTATGTTACACTTTTGTGTGGTCAATGTATGCATGGTAAGTGATGCAAAGTGAATTGTTATCTCAAGTTTGGCTTAAAATGACTTTCATAGCCGAAGTTTTGCTTTTATGCTTTCAATCTATGTGGAAAATAAAGATGTCAAGGATGAAGTTGACTTTTAGTTGTAGGGCCTGCATAGAGTTTACTTGCTGAATGCGTGTTAATTGTGCAGAAGAAGAAACATCACCAGCTTAAAACCATTCTATGTGGGCGGTGCCGACTTTTGTCTCATGGACAGATGATAACTGCTGTTGGTGGACATGGAGGATATGCTGGTGGTAAACAATTTATTATGGCTGAAGAGCTTCGAGAAAAATTGTCTCATCTACGCCATGAGAAAGCCTTAATTGTTAAATTGGTAAATCTAACTTTTGCTTTATCTGGTTTTAATTAATGTTCTTTACTACTTGTAAAGTATAACAACAGCGTCCTTTATTGAGGTACAGTTATGTAGTTCTGCAGTCTTTTTCTCAATATAATTTGTTACTTTTAAATTATCTTTTCTGTCCAATTAATGATAATAGCTGGAAGTGATAAAACTTCTTGATCTAATTTGTTGAAGAAATTACTTCTAGGTTGATATTGTTGACTTCAATGGCAGTTTTTTGTCTCGGGTGCGTGATCTTGCTGGTGCCAATCCAATAATACTGGTGGTGACTAAGGTAACTATCATATCCACGTGGCTGATTTTGTTTATATGGACACATAGATCGTAAAATTGTAACTGTATATTTTGTTTGTAGATTGATCTCCTGCCGAGAGATACTGATCTTAATTGTATTGGGGATTGGGTTGTAGAAGCTGTCACCAAAAAAGGGCTAAAGTAAGTTTCATTTTATTATTAATATTCTCCATGATAAATTATAAACTTTGAATTAATTAATTTGTGTTCTTTTGATTGACTGTAATATCATTACATGAATTCAGTTGAAAATGTTATTAAGTGTCACTTGAAATAAGTTTTATTCTTGTTGTAATGGGAGAAGTTAATTGGAGGAGTTTAACTATTTTTTGCAGTGTTCTCAGTGTTCATCTCACCAGTTCTAAATCATTAGTTGGAATAGCTGGAGTGGTATCAGAAATCCAGAAAGAAAAGAAGGTACCTTTGACCTGATAACATTAGTTAGACAAACCGAGTGGCCCTTTCAGAAAATCTGATGAGATGCAACCATTCAATTTTATATTGAAGATGACATAAATTATGTGTTTTGAAAAACGTGGTAGATGTTTTATGCTGTGGTGTGGATTGCCAAATGTTATGTTATGTTATTTATATTAACTGTGTCACATTTTTCATCATAATCTGAAATGCCTTCATTTATGTGATATGTAATATGTTTTATAAGGCATCATGCTTCCCTTTTAGTTACTATGTATTGCCTGATGTGAAAAATTGATATTCTGACGCTTGAAATTTTCTTGCACGATTTTTTTTTTTGGGGGGGGGGGGGTGTGGTGTTTGATGGATAATGTCCAAAATTCCTATCCTGATTATCATAAATTTCCAATCCATGCAAAGATGATGCATTCCAAAATCCTAACATTCACATATGCCATCATCTATATTCATGAAAATGGGAACTGTTAACTTTGACTTTTTCTTATCTTTTTCTCTAATGAAATTCTATATATTTTAATTTTTGCAGGGACGTGATGTGTACATACTGGTAAGCCTCTGAATTGGAAGCTTCACATGTTTTACGAAGGTTGTTATTGTAGCACGACATGATGTTCCTATGCAAAATCGTGTATATGGGATTTGGAAATTGATCTTTTGATTCATCTTCTTGAACCTTTTTTTCCTCTCCTATAGAGCTAGTAACAATTATTTGGGATTAGAAATATTGAAGTATCTCTTTACTGGCTTCTGATCAATATGTATATTTCAAACTTCAAATAAAGTTTGTTTGATCATGCCTTAAGATTTGAATAACAAATTTTTCTACAAACATGATATTCGCATAACTGTATGAGCGCATAGTTTCTTGTTTGCATTCAATTATTATCCACACTATGCATATGCATATCTGTTTATCTTCTATTTGTTGAGTTGTGGGCTCAACTGTACAAAATATGCAGCAATTGAACCTGGTACCTTAAAATGCTGAATTTGAGGAGATAAGCTTAGCAGGAAAATTTAAAAATGCCACTCTAGCATGATTATTTTCACTGATTTATCATAAAGTCTTTTATTACCCTGGGGATAATGTATCGAGGTCCTTTTATTTTTGTACATTTGCTTTTGGTTTATTACCCTGACTTCACTGAAATTCTATTTATTTATTTATCTATTTTTTTCACACTTCTTATAGGGGTCAGCTAATGTTGGGAAATCTGCATTCATTAACGCTTTACTGAGTAAGTTAGTTATACTTCCGTGCATCATAAATACTAGCATTGAATTTATTCATTATCTAGCAATTTGGTTGTTTATCTATAGCATGATTCAAAATTTTCTCTGAATAAATGATATTTTTTCATGCTTCTTTTTGCCAGTTGTTTTGTAAATTTAGATGCTTTTTTCATTACGTAAGCCCATGTTATTTAATATTAATATTTGCTCACTGTTTGCATTGTGGTAAAGACATTCACTTTCCTCTGAAATACTGAGGCCACCAGCCTTAGCCTTGTTCACGTGGTTACTTACAGGTTGCAAACCTTGTATATCAGATAACCCAGAAGAGGATTATGTTATAAGTACAATAGGCTTTCTTCAATACGTCATTTTGTGTGGTTCAAGCAGGTTTCTGTTGAAATTATTGCCGAGAGATACATTGACTTATGCGCACACATATTGAATTAGTTTTATTTGCTCATCATTTTAGAAATCCAAGTTCTCATGTTTCTCTATTGTGACATATTTGATGTCAGAAGTAATGGCAATAAAAGATCCAGTTGCTGCAGCTGCACAGAAGTACAAACCAATACAATCTGCTGTCCCTGGAACTACCCTGGGGCCAATTAAAATTAACGCCTTTCTAGGAGAGGGGGTACGTCATTCATTTTAATTTTGTATATTGTATGTCACATGATTGTTTAATATTTGAATTTTTCATGATTCTATTTCTCAATGCATGCAGAATCTATATGACACTCCTGGAGTTCATCTCCACCATAGGCAAACTGCGGTTGTTCATTCTGAAGATCTTCCCTGTCTTGCTCCTCGAAGCCGACTGAGGGGTCTATCTTTCCCGGTATGTATGTATCACAATTGTTCAAGATGTAATGTCAATAGCATACGCTAACTTTGCTCCTCATTGTTATTGTCAGAATTCTCAGGTATTCAAGGACGACGCAGGCGCAGATCATTCCAAATCAAATGGCTTAAATGGATTTTCAATATTTTGGGGAGGGCTGGTCAGAATTGATGTCTTGAAGGTTCTTACTTTGTACCTCTATTTATTTTCCTCGGATGCTGTGGGGAAACTTATCAATAATGTGCTGGGTTTTTTCTTGTCTCGTTAATTTCCTTCATCTTGATATTTTCAGGCTCTGCCCGAAACATGTTTGACGTTTTATGGGCCCAAGGGCCTTCAGATTCATATTGTGCCCACGGAGAATGCAGATGAGTTTTACCAGGTATTGTCACCCACGCTCATTGAGACATTATTGTTTCTTAAATCTGCCCATCTTGTCTAACTTGCTAAATATTTTATGGGTTACACTTTTCTTGTGATTACGAACTGAGTGATGAAGTTGAACTTGTCTCTACAGTTCTAGTAACCAATGGATAAATCAAGCTGTTTCAGTTTTCTTTTTAAATAACGTTATAGTTGGACCATAATTCCTGAATAAAAGATGCGTGTACATGCTACTTGTTGGTATCAAATGTGAGTTAGCAATTGCATTTTATTAGCACTACTGTCATCACTGTGTTGCATTTAAGATGGTGAAATTTCCATTTTGTTATGTCCATATATAGTTGAAAATATGTAGATTCTCTGTTTTCCTCTTGCTGTCCTATTCTGCTGGCAAATCAGTTTTGCTTCTGTTGTCTTTGGGCTGCTATTAGGCGCAAGACTTCTCTTCCCTCTGTAAACATGAAATGTTCGTTTTGTGCTGCTTTTATGTTATTGTGATGTTTCTCGAGTTCCCACCCATGTTTTGAGAGGGTCTTGCTTTACCTTCTCAGAAAGAAGTTGGAGTTCTGCTGACCCCACCAACTGGATCACTAAAGGCTGAGAACTGGAGAGGACTTGAATCAGAACGTAATTTGCAAATAAAATTTGAAGATGCGGAGAGGTATCACTCTATCACTTTCTCACCTAGTTCCATTGCGGTTGCTTTCAACACATCAGGCCTGTTTGGATTGTTAACTAGAATGGACAAGAAAGTATAATTAAAAAAGGCAATTTGTGGATAAGGAATATATGTCTTTCATGTCCTTGAATAAAAATGTGTATTAAAAAAGACTTTTATTGTTGAGTATAGGAAAGATATAATGGAAAGGGTGGGGGTTTTCACCGTAGAAGCGAATTTCTTTTCTATGTTCTTGCCAAACGTAGGGCAATTCTATTTGGGCAAATTGCTCATATTTATGGATAAACAGGCATAAAAAAGTGAAATTTCTCAATTATTCTTTGGGAGCAGGCCCGCTTGTGATGTAGCTATATCTGGTCTGGGATGGTTTGCTGTTGAACCAGTTGGCAGATCACACAGAATCTCAGAAACAATATCTGCAGAAACTTCTGGGGAATTGCATTTAGCAGTGCATGTTCCCAAACCTGTTGAGATTTTTGTGAGACCACCATTACCAGCTGGCAAGTTTGGAGCGGAGTGGCATCAATATAGGGAATTAACAGAAAAGGAAGAGGAAACCAGACCAAAATGGTTCTTTTGAATATGCTGTGTCTTCTGCCCTATGCAAATCTTATGTATGATTATTATTTGATTTAATTGTAATTAAATTTTGTTGCTATATTGTGGTTACATGATCCCAAAATAGCTTACCGTGTATAAGCCGTGTGGTAATGGTGAGGGGTGTGGGCAGTCGTTCTCCAGGGGAAAAAAATATTTTAAAAAAAAAAAATCATTGTAAAAGGATAAAAGGAAGAGCAGGAAAATATGTGTGCGTGCGTGAGTGTGTGTGTTGGGGGAGGGGGGTTTGAAGTACACAAATCTTTTTGGTGTACCCAATATTTTAATTTTTTTAATAGTACAATTTCACCCTTAATTTTTTAAAATTGGTGCAATCCTACCCAATGCCAGCGGATCTCTAGATGCCTGTGAACACGTTGGCGTTTTAATATAAAAAAAAAAAATTCACATCACATAAGTAATTTAATTTAAAAAAAAAAAAGAGAAGAAACGTGGCTTTTTCACTCAGAAGGAAACCTGTGGCATTTTCACGTGTGAAGTGCTCCTTTTTTTGTGTGCCACTTTTCTACATATTATTTCATGAATCACGATTGAGACCGAGCGGGCTTAAGTGCTTAAACGGTAATTAGATAATTATTTAGAAATATTTTAGCAAATAACAACAATTTGAAGGGGTTATTGGAAATGATTGACGCTTGCTGGCCCAAAAAAAAAAATCCACTCTTTTTTTCTTGTGAGGTGAAAGTGTATCTTTGGTCATTTAACTTTGTGTTGATTTTTTTAGTTTTTATAAAGTATTTTTAGTTTTTTAATTTTAATATTATTAGTTTCATTAACATAAATGTCAACCAATTTTGAATGTTTGAAAAACACTCATAAATATGGACATATTAAATTTATTTTTTTAAACATAATAATGATTGGTATAAAAAATTATCATTTAAAATTAAGGCTAACGTGGTTTGGAAGAATCTTTTCCTTCAATTTTGGGCCTGACCAAAATATTCCAAAAAAAAAAAAGAGAGAAACAAATGCATGCTCAGTACTGTGTGTTAGTTAATGTTCGTTATTTGCACGAAGTAGAAAACCACCCCTCAGAAAAAAAAGGACACGTCGCTTGGCAGTTACAGTTAGTTTTTGTTTCAAAATCCTGAATTCAAAACCATATATATGTCCAAAAACTGCCTCCTTCTTCACCGATTAATGAACAAGTGAACCAACGTTGCTGCCTTCTTCTTCATCTTTTCTGAAACTCAAATTACCAAAACAATCATATTAACATGGCTTTCACTTCTCGTTTCCAAGATTCTCTTACCAGAACTGCACTTCGAGCCTACCTCGCTGAGTTCATCTCCACTTTCTTCTATGTCTTCGCTGTGATCGGCTCCGGCATGTCTTCCAGTGAGATTCTGTCTTTCTCCTTTCTTTCTTGTCTTATGTTGATTAAGAAAACATGGGACACCGCAGATATTTTGTTGTCTGCGACTTTTTATTATACTTGTCATTATATATAGACATATATGTCTGTCACAAAAACAGTGCAGATTCCTTAACATGATCATCATCTTCAACACCTTAGACTTTGACCGATCCGTACGGTTTTCTGGGTCGTCCTTCATCATGAAAATGAAGCAGTAAAGTGAAAGAGAAAGAAAATCAAGAGATCTCATTCTTATATATAAGTACACAAGTAGCTGTATCAAATCATCGAGTCTCTTTCTTGAACTAGTGGTTTCCTCATCAACAACTTGAAATTGAATGGGTAATATATATAATAATGGCAGGGAAGATGAAGGGAGAAGCAGCAACAGAGGCAGCGAATCTGGTGGTGGCAGCCATAGCCAATAGCTTTGCATTGTCCTCTGTGGTGTTCATGGCGTGGGACGTGTCAGGAGGACATGTGAACCCAGCAGTGACCTTCGCAAGGGTGGTTGGAGGCCATATGAACCTATCAACTGCTCTCTTTTATTGGATTTCTCAGATGATTGCTTCTGTCATGGCCTGCCTTCTTCTTAAGATAACCTTCGTTGGAATGGTATTTAATTACTTCATTCCCCTTTTGTTTTCATAATTTAGACAGGCTTGCCTAAAGACGAAGAGAAACTTACAGAGATCTCTATTGAGTTTGGGGAATTACAAAATCTTCTTTTTTCTTTTTGAGAAAAAGAGAATTTATTACATGAATTTTTTCTGCAGAGTTGCTTTCAAATTGCACATACTTTTATGGGACGTTTATGTAACTTTAATAAATTTAATAAATTCACCGGAAGTCTGCATAATTTAATAATCTTGTTCGGGGGCAGATATGTGTGATTTTTTCCAAGAAAATAAAAAGGCATGTCTGTTAAGTTCTGAAAATTCTTTAGATATTTAGCATTATTTTGAAAATAAAAATGAAGGTTAATTCTATCTTGCCAGATTTCAAGGACACTTTATATTGATTTGATTTTAAAAAACAACAAAATTTTTATAACTTTAATTTGCCCTTCTTTTTTTGCATGTCTGGTTTTGTGCAGCATGTGCCAACGTACACAATAGCACCACAAATGACAGGGTTTGGGGCATCAATAGTGGAAGGTGTCCTTACATTTGCGTTAGTTTACACTGTGTATGCTGCTAGGGACCCTAGGCGTAGCGGTCAACTGGGGCCCACAGGTGCCCTAGCCATCGGCCTGATCGTCGGAGCCAATGTCCTAGCTGCCGGTCCCTTCTCCGGCGGGTCAATGAACCCTGCTTGCGCCTTCGGCTCAGCCACCATTGCTGGAACCTTCAAGAACCAAGCAGTGTACTGGGTTGGACCCCTAATTGGTGCCGCCGTTGCTGCTCTCGTTTATGACTGTGTAGGGTATCCCTCTCAGAATGCCGATTCATTTGTAGAAGCAGATAGGGTTTGAAGTCAAAGTAATATCAAGCTTAAGACTTATTTATATTATTCCTAGTCAGATTATTATTTTGCTGCTAGATTTTATAGCGAGTGTGAGTGGCTGATGTACACCTATTTAAAGACTTGTAGGAGAAACATTTATTTAGTGCAAGGTTTCACAATTTCATGATTTGATATGTTTTGATAAATATATAAAAATTTTTCTTTAAATAATTGTTCATTAGGAACTAATCTGCAATAGCACCAGAAATATATCTAAGTAATTGCTGCCGCAAAATAAAGAGACAATCACACTATATTATTCCCATGCTTACCAAATACACTCGTACGGACTCTCATGACTTGAGCTTTATACATATTTGACCTCACAAGTACACATCAAGTGAATAAGACAACAAGAAACAAAGTCATCGTATCTCTTTTGTTCTGGTAAAACCAACAGAAGAAAGTACAAAAAGTTTTCCAAGAATGGACTGTCCCAGATGCTAAGCAGCCTCACTTGTATCAAGCTCCTCATTGGAGAAAACTTCAAGCAATATGCAAGTTTAGAGCAGCCCGCAAGATTTAGGACTTCCAACGAGTTCAGACAAAACATGGAATTAGGGATACTGACAAGATTGATGCAACCTTTCAAGTTCAAGAATCTGAGCTTTGGAAGTTTAGCAACAGATGGATCAAGTTGCAACAATCCAGTACATCCTTCGAGCTCTAGCCTCTCAAGATTTGGAACCCCACCAAAATCTGGCGTCTTGGTCAAAGTTTTGGAGCCACTTAGATTCAGTTTTCTCAAAGCAGGGAGCATCTGTGAATGGAGAATATATAGTACTTTTTGTATTAAAACAAGACACTTGGGGGATATTTAACAACAGGTAAAAGGTATCTATATTTGTTTGGGAGTTTGATTGAATAATTTCTAGTAATTTAAATATCTAAGAACTGAAAGAAGAACATGAACATACCATTCTGCCCTTCCATACTTCTGTCATGCTGCTTTCAGGCATAATCAGTTGAACAAGTGTGTCAGATTGAAAACCCGACGGTAAAGAAGTGAAAGGATATTGATGCCATGAAACATATCGCAACTTGCTTGAAAGATTATTGAGGGTTCCAGAAAATTCCACATTACGGAATATCAGCAATCTAAGGTTGATCATATGTGATAAACCATCAACCCTCAATGAAGCCATTTTTGGCTCTTCCAAATCCAAGGCTATAGCTTCAACACCTTCCACCATCTAGGATTATAAATGCATTTATATATAGAGATGCTGAAATGTCAGATTATTACTTTAACTTCTCATTTGTAATGTAATGCTAAAAAGGGCCATCAAAACTTACCCATGTGTATCTCTGTCTCTCACTAACAGATTCGATGTTATCTGGCTGAGCTTCAACATTTTTCATCACCTGGGAGAGTAAACGCATTTGTACACAAAAATAATGACATGTTAGATTATTGTTTTAGCTTTTCATATTGTAATATGCTAAAAAGTGGTGTCAAAACTTACCGTGTTTCTTTTCTTCTCCATAACAGATTTAATGTCACCATAAAGGTATAATCGGCTTTGTTGATACGGATATTGTCGTCGAATAATATCTCGCCCCATTGCTTGCAACATACTATGCATTTGTATCCTCTCATTTGCAATTGTGATGACTGATTTCTGAATAAGAATTTCTATATCAACAGAGCAATCGATGCAATCATGTAAAATTTCCTTCACACAGTTAATGTCCTTCCCGACAAAGAAACATGCTATGTCCAAAAACATTTCCTTACTCATGTGATCAAGTTCGTCAAAACTTTTTCTAAGCACCCTTATGATCTCATAGGGAGGAATAATTTCTTCCCTATCCAGCAAACTTCTCCATTCTGCAATGCCTTTTCCAAAAAAGGATGAACCCAATATTTCAATTGCTAATGGAAGGCCATTAGCATATTCCAACACCCTATCTATCATCTCTCTGAATTCACCAATAGGATATCCCCCTTGAAAAGCTTGAGAGCAAAGTAGTTCGAAACCTTCCTCCTTGGACAAAAGTTTAGGTCTATAAATGGTTTTAACCTCATATTTTTGAAGGACTTGTTCGTCTCTAGTTGTTATAATGATTCTACTCCCCCCGCCAAAACAATTGGATTTTTGAACTAAGTTCAACTCTTGTAGATGTTGTACAACATCGACACCATCAAGAACTATAAGAAACTTGTGCTTTCTTAACCTTTTGCATCGTAAGAACTCTTTGTCTAGAAAATCCTTCATCTCTGAATTCTCTGTCATCAAATGTCTATGCAGAAGTTCTTGTAGAGTTATGTCACCGTGCTTTAAACGTCCACTTAGATTGGGAAGGAAACAAAAGGCATCAAAAAAGTGAAAGATCTTAAGATATAAAACAGTAGCAATAGAAGATTTCCCCAATCCGCTCATACCACAAATGCCAACAACTCGAACTTCATCATCTGCATTCAAATCCAAAAGCTTTTCCACTTCTTCCACTTGAGATTGCATCCCAACAAATCCGAAGAAGTCATAAAATAGTTTATCTATTTTAGACTTGACTTCTTTAACAATTTTTGGAATAACCTGTAACCCTGAGCTGAAAAAGAGAAAGTGGAACGCCAAATCAATCAAATTTGTTTCCTCTTAAAGATCCTCTGCTATTATTGGTGTGTGGCTTTTATCAGGACAACTTAGAAGTGACATCTAAATTTTTTAAATAGATATATATACACAAATTATATAATATCCATATTGCATCTGGAGTTGAGGTCTGCTAGTACAACAGCTTGTTGTTTTGGCCAAAAGTATGCATGTCTGAGATATAAATATATATATATAGAGAGAGAGAGAGAGAGAGAGAAGAGAGAGTAAAATTACGCACTCATTCCGCACTTGCCAGACAGGGGCCACTAGTTCGATAACCTTCCTCTCCCATTGGGTTATCTCAAATGAATCTTGTGTGCATGCTTGTTGAATATGTTGAGCAAAGGATTTTGGATCCACATCGTAATAAACTGCTATAAACCTATCTGAGTTACTCCGGCGGCCAGAGACACGGCACCCTTGTTTCAGAGCTTCCCTCCATCTGTTCACCTTGTATATGTTTGCTTTGCACATTTCTTGTCGTTCAGCATCGACAGCGTACAATGGATGCGCACTGTAAAAAACCGGTGATGATAAGACCTCACACTGAGGTACAATGTGATAACTAATGATGCGCCCAGCAACCTGTGACCGTTCCTTTAAACACCAGCATGAAGAAGCGTAGTTCTTGGAGAAGACAACAATCAAAATCCAGGACTCATCAATTGCTTGAAGAAGGTGATGTGGAAGATTGGAGTCTGGATTTTCATGCTTCTTATCGTCTCCGAAGATTCTGAAGCCTTCTGCTTTAAGAGCAGCCGAAAGGCTATGCATGAATTTACGAGTGTCTTCATCACCTCTAAAGCTGATATATACATGACTCGGTTTCAACGATGATGGGCTGCTCTCCAAATACTCCATGGGATAGAAATCCTTATCATCACCCTGTAACTAGTCAACAATAGAAGCAACAAGCAAGTTATAACAATGATGAATGCGCCGCTAATGTTCTTGTAGCCCAGTGGCAAGAGAGATTTTTGTGAGTTAAAAGTCGTTGGCTTGTAACCTCATGACTTTAACGTATGCCCATTTAATTAAAAATAATATGGGCCACCACAAGTAATCTCAATTAATTTAGCTCTCATTTTTTTAATTTTAAATCCGTAAAGTCTTTCGGCAGAATCTGTCCAAGCCATTTTTTCATTGGATCACATGAAGGTGTTTGCATTGCGAAATTACGCTGGGTCACCGCCTCATCATCCCCTGTATGCTTAGTCTCAATAAAGTTGACTTGCTTTGTATAGAATTAATACTACCTCCGGTCCTAATTATAAGAACTAATTGACTAATTTAAAGAATTTAAGAAAATAAATTAAGTTAAGTTAGTTATTTGTAATAAATAGGTGTTGTTTTTCTTAAAATATCCTTGCTAATCAAGTGTGTTAGTTAGAACTACCATTATTAGAAGGATTACCTTAGAAAAAAAATACATAAATATTAGAGACAAAGTGGATTGGGGTCTAATATTTAGGACCAAAATAAAAGTTAAATGAAATCTTATATTAAGGAAAGAAGGTAGTATAATTTTTGGTCCCTAAAATTTGAACATGTTTTAGTTTTGACCTCTTAAATTTCAAAATTTTTAATTCCTTGAATTTAGTCTAAGAGTGTAGTGGTGCTAAAATCTACAAAAGTGTCATAAATAACATTAAAATGGTAATGTGAACTCACTAAATGATGCATAACTAGCTCTGGTGTGAATTTAAAAAGAACAAAAAGAGAAGATCCTCAAAAAGCAACAGCGGGGATGAATTCTTAAAATACAGTGAATAGCTTCTCAAACAAATGGCTATGTTTTGAGAACCTATTCTTGTTTGTTTTTTTCCTCTTTATTGTCTACAAAAGATTCAATTACGTACCATTTTGTGAGTTAACATCAACATTTTAAAGCCATTTATGACACTTCAGCAAATTTTAACACTATTATTCCTCTAGATTCTAGAAACTAACATTTTAGACAAAAGAGACTTGCAGAAACATTTCCAGAAAATGTCTGAAAAATATTACATGCTTGGAAGAGCTAATGATGTCAATCTCAGGCATACTTTTATTGCCTCTCTTCCAGATGAACTACTACTCAGAAATTCCAACTTATACAAAATGCACTTGGATTACTCGAAGTACGCTGGTCTCTGCCCCGCTATGTCATATTCCATAGGGATGCACAATTAGCAAGGTTCTGAAGGGCATGTTCAAGAGTCCCCGGTCAGATCGGCTAGGATTAAAGTAATATAATTTAATTAAAAATATTACATGCTATCCCAAGGCCAAATTAAAATAATAATATGTTATTTACCAGCTAATGTAAAATACGTAACAAACCAGAGTTAATCATTATTTTTAATCCCAGCTACGTACGACACGTTCACATTAGGTTCCTTTTACTTCGGGCAATCAGTGAATGCAGTTGTAAGAATACTCCATCACAGATCAGAGGTTCAGTCACATCTTACGTTTGAAGTCTAAAAATCGAAATTATTAAGAAGGGAGAGACTACCGGGAAGAGGGAGCTCTGCAAATTGATGGGGTTAGCCGAGCTAAACTTCTAATAATGTTTTGTATAAACTTGAAAGGTTTTTTACCCACTGAGTGTAATAATGTTAAAATCTGCAGAAGTATCATAAACAATATTAAAGTGATGATGTGAACTCACTAAACAATGCATAACTAAATTTTATGTGGATTAAAAAAAAAAAAAAAAGAGAAGATCCTCAAAAGCCAAAGCAGAGGATGAGGGGGATGAATTCTTAAAGTACAGTGAATAGCTTCTCAAATAAAAACGGGTTAAATAGCTATGTTTGAGGGCCTATTGTTTTTTTTCTTCTTTTTTATTATCTACACAAGATCCAATTAAATATTATTTTGTGAGTCAAAATCAACATTTTAACGCAGTTTATGATACTTCAGCAAATTTTAACACCATTATATCCTGAAACTCTAGAAACTAACATTTTAAGAAAATTAAATTTTAAAGACTAAAATCACAGGTTTGCGATTCGATGAACCCAAACTAAAATAGGACCGAATTTTAGTAACCAAAAATTATATTAGGCTGATTGTTAGTTGTCATGTTGTCATTTGTCCGGGGATATTAAATTGTTACTAATCATAGTCGGCTTTGTTGGCATTTCTTTTATTAAGAAATTCCAACTTTATACAAAATGCACTTAGATTAGATTACTCGAAGCACGCTGGTCTCTGCCCCCCTGTGTCATATGCGCATGCATAATATTTAGCAAGGTCCTGAATGGGGAATGTTCGAGAGTCTCCGGTCAGATCGGCAAACCAGAGTTAAAATAATGCAAAATACATAACAAAACAGAGTTAATCATTACTTTCACTAATGGCAATGAGTGAATGCAGTTGAAGAATACTGCATCACAGATCAGAGGTCCAGTCACATGTTACGTTTAAAGTTTAAAAATCGAAATTATTAAGAAGGGAGAGCCTACCTGGAGGAGGGAGCTCTGCAAAAATTGATGGAGTTCGCCGAGTGACGCAACAGATGGCGGACTGAGGATCACAAAGCAGCGATGAACGACGGCGACGGCTTGAGGAGGACGAGGACCAAAATGGTGACAGGCTAAGTAGAATGAGCCTTTGGAGCGCTGAGCAGTGTGGGACTTTAGGCTCCCCCCTATCGTGTTTATTAAAATATATATGTGTGTGTGTATAAAAATGATTTTTGGTTTAAGCTTCGTTTAATACTTCAGAGTATTTTTTTCCAGGTATATTCGTTACTCTAAAATATTGTGTTTCATTTGAAGTATTTTTTTTTCCCCAGATGAGCACCACATTTTAAAGTATTTTCTAATATAATTATCTAACACCCTAAATTATTTTTCAGGTAAGTTCAGTATCCTAGAAATATTTTTTGATTCATCCATCACTCTGAAATATTTTTTCAAAATACGTTCAGTATCTAAAATATTTTGTGAGCCATCCAACGTTTTAAAATATATTTTAGATACATCTAGTTATTTTGCTAAATACACATAAAAAATATTTTAGAGTATTGAATGAAACTTAATCCAAAAATAATTTTAATATATACTACCTTAGGTCTTTAATATAAGAGTTAGTTGACTAATTTGAGAAGATTAAGAAAACTGAATAAATTAATTATTTGTAATAAAATAGATTTTTTAAAAAATATCCTTACTAATTAAATGTATTGGTTAAACCTACCATTATTACATGACTATTTTGAAAGAAAATAGATAAATGTGAAAGATAAAGTGGATTAAGATCTTATATTTAAAATCAAAATAAAAATCAAACAAATCTTTATATTAAGGATATATTATTTTTGTGGTGAATAAGAGAGAAAAAAAGTAAAAAAAAAAAGGCAAAAAACAAAAGAAACAAAGGTCCCCCTGCTCAGCACTCAGCACGCCGTAATGGGTCCCTGATCACTCATTTGGTGCCTGGGAATAGACCGGCAAAAGTAACCAAACCGTTAACTTGGGCAAACTGCCGTTACTTTGTATCTGTGGGCCCACGGAGTCTGTGAAATCTTCTCTCTCATTCCGGTCAGCTTGACGGACGCGTAATGCTGTCTATAGGTAATGATTACTCTTGATAATTTACTTTGACTGAAAAGTAGGCAAGAGGCCATTATGGGACAAATACATAAAAGCACTCATTCAACAATTTAACGAGACAAAGACATTCTCGTCTGATTTTATTTATAAAATACTTTTAATATATTTTATAGGGAAAAAGACAGAAAAATACACTCTTAATTTCAGAAGCCCAAAAAGGTCCGCTGAATTCAACAAATCCCAGTTTGGTACCATGAGACCAAATTGGGATTATTATTTGAAAGGAAAAGACCAAATTGCCCTTCATTTTAAATATTACTTTTAAAATATCACAGCCCCTACTGGCCGGCCGGCCACCGGACCTCCGGCGACGGCGGTCACCGGAGCTCCGGCGACCAGCCGACAATTGGTCACCGGAGCTCCGTCGGTCGGAATTTTTTTTTTTGAAATTTTCACAACTTCAATATAACGGTTAACAATTTTTGTAATGCGATTAACAACTTCAATATATCAATTAACAACAGCTTTTCTGGAAAATTCAACAAAGTCCGGCGACCGGAAACAATTTTTTTGAAAATTTTTACAACTTTAATATAACCGTTAACAACTTTTGTAACGCCATTAACAACTTCAATATAGCAATTAACAACAGGTTTTTTGAGAAATTCAATAAACTCCGGCGACCGGAAACAATTTTTTTGAAAATTTTTACAACTTCAATATAACGGTTAACAACTTTTATAATGCTATTAACAACTTCAATATAGCAATTAACAACAGCTTTTCTGGAAAATTCAACAAACTCCGGCGACCGGAAATAATGTTTTTGAAAATTTTTACAACTTCAATATAGCGGTTAACAACTTCTGTAACCCTATTAACAACTTCAGTATAGCGGTTAACAACAGGTTTTTGAGTTTGTTAAAGACATTACTGAAGTTATAAAAATGCCAATTTTTGAATTTAAAAACTTGTTGTTAACTGCTATATCAAAGTTGTTAATCGTTATATTGGAGTTGTAAAAATTTTCAAAAAAACGTAATTGTTAACATTATACTGAAGTTAAAAATTTTTACAACTTCAATAT